GCGCCAATCGTCAGAGAAGTCCAGGTGGATGATTTCGCTGGCTCCGTACTTGAAAGCGACACAAGAGAAGGCTGGTCCGAATCGTAAGGCCGGCCGTTCAGCATAGGCCTTGCCAAGAAAGCTGTCTAGACGTTTTGCAGCTCTGGAAGACTGTATTGAGCAAAGACATTGAGAAACAAGGGAAGGACATACCGAACACCGCACTCCCAAAGGTCAGGATGATCGTGTCGGAGAATGTTGTTCACTTTCTTGAACAAAGTGGCATTGAGATAACCCAGGAAGGCATCTAAAGCCGCCCTGGTCTCTGCTTTCGGATCGCGCGACTCTGTGGTGATATGAGGCCCTTTTCTTTTCTTGCGAAATTTCTCCCAAGAACCGACATGGGTAGCAGGAATAGAGGACCTCTGTTCCTCTCCCTTCTTCTTCCTTGGTCCCGTTGCCTCGTAGAGGTCGTGAAGTCGGATTATTTCGGCGGCGACAGCAGGACCTACACTGTCGAACATCTTGAAGAGAAAAGGCGGATGTGGAATGGAATCCTGAGCCAAAATGGACAGAATACAGTCAGGTACGTCGATTTGAAACAGCTCTTTGCCGTCAAGCTCTACCAAATGCATGTCGTCGATGGACAGAGGACATAGCTGCGCGACCGTGCTGCGAATGGAATCCTGGCACATAACATGATGCAGCAAATGGTAAGGATATTCCTTGAGGACCTTCTTGACTGATTTGCTATCTGAGCAATTGAGGTTCGACATAGCAGGAAAAGCTCACCAGTTCTGAGCTTTCACGACTCGACACCGCGAGCCAAGCGGAGGCGTAGAGCAGCCTCTCTGGCCTCTCGTTTCTCACGAGAGCGACCACCATGTTTGGAGCTCATGGACGAGCCAGCTCGCTTCCCCATGGAACCCTGAACAAAAAGGAAGGAAATAGGGAACAGGAAATATCAGGAAAAATATTCGTGAGCATTGTTTGGCTCTGTTAGGTCACCTCATGTTTTTCTTTCCTTCACACGAAAACCGATGCTCTCTCATCCGCATCCCCTCAGGTTGAAGTGCTTCCCACAAAGCTTTGCAGACCAGACCGCCACTGTTCAGCAGATACGGCGGTCAATTTGGCCGGTTAATTGCTATCCCCTCCTCTACGATGACTGCGGCGTGTCACAAGCTTTAGCATGTCCTTGCTGGCAAGCCCCAGGATTTTTTCTCACAGAAAGCCGACCTAATACTCATCCTAATTGGACAGATTTCGTCGGACCCAAGGTAATTATTGTCCTGCTGAATCTTCGGTATCCGACGACGCCAGCTGAGCTCTCTTTCTGTACAGAAGAGAGCTCAGCTGTACAGAAAGAGAGCTTAGCTGGCGTTGTTCTCCACTGACGAGATTGCTTTGGAGAATAGACAGACTGGCTGGGAGGCCTTGGCCGGCAGATTCAGCTAGGTTCCTTGTTACCATAGCACTAAAGTCGAAAACCCTTGTTTAGGAATCCGCCCATCTCTCGCCTCGCGACATGCTGGGAGATAAGTCTGCGCTCTGCGGCCAGTGCTGCGAGCGCGTCACGGACTGTCTACCTTAACAGTTGCGCCACCGATTGCTACTCAACGGCATTATCTGCCTCACGCTTCCCAGGAGGTAAGTGCCGGGACTGGTCTAAAGCAAGTCTCTGATTTCGTTTGCCTAGGTGCGGTCACCATGGGTCGAGGTCGATGCGCCGGCGGTTTCCCTTCAAGCCGATCTTCTTCAGGTCAGTGAACCGCACGACCGCTATGCTTTCTCACCTTCATGAGCTTCGTTTCGTATCTCCTCTGGCTCACGAAATCCAGGGCTGCAGGTTGGGCATCGTCCTCAGAGGCTACTGCGTCCACGCTGATCTCGGTTCTGCTGTTTTAGGTTGCATTTTTCCCTTGTTTTCTGTAGAACTTGTTGCTCTAATTTATCAAATTTTCAATGATTTCGAGCTCGTTTCAAGCCGTGAATCCATAATTCTTCGTTGTTCTGACCCTAATCTAGGTGCTCCGGCAGCCGGTATTTCGATATCCGGCGGAGGGAATCTCAACATATCTTGGTCCTAGGCCACCATCCTCCACTCCTTTGCTTAGATTTCTGGGAAAAGAGATCTGGAAAAATACCTGAAAAATCTGGCGGCAAAATCAGAGCTCCTGCTCTGCTCTGGAAAATCTCATGGTCTCTCATAGCAGCTTGACCTCAAATCATCACCTCACGCAAAGCTAGATGGCCAAACCCAAGCTCTATCACTTGGTTGCTGAACGCCGTGCTGCGAACGCTGTTTACAACCACCGACACCGCGAGAAGTCTGCTTTTTTCTTTATTGCAGAAACAATACGGCGATTAATCAACGACGACGGGAGAAATACAAAGGGGATCTACTACGGTAGGTCTGCCCTGCCTGCCAGCTTCTCTTTTGACCTTGCCTCCAGAGCAGAACGACGACAAGCAAAAAAGGACAAGGAACAACGTCTCGCTAGAAAGCGTCGGGTCAGGGCGAAGAGGTGCGCTCACCTTTCGATTACGCTCCTCTAATGTTAACCTTCCTTTTACCAGAGCTGCTGAAGCCAAGGCTCTGAACGGTACTGATTCTGCTCTCGTTGAGCCCGCCTCTCGTTGACCTCCCTCTGTCCAAAAAGATGCTCTGGAACAGGTCACAGCAGAATTCCAGGCTTTATGATTCACAATCCCCGTCGCTTTCTACAAGCTGTTGTCTCTGACTATGTCACCACACGTCACCGACAGAGCCTCTTCCAGACCGTGAAAGCACTGGATGCTCTCCTCGAGAAGCTTGTTGCTATCGGCTCTTCCTCAGATTTACTGAAAGCGCAGACCCGCTTCCAGACTGTGGTTGACTGGGCAGAGGAGATTCGCATCCAGGTCATGAGAAGCTATGACCTGACCGACCTCTGGTTTCGTAGTTGTCGTTTCGCATTTCAACAGGAGCATGGGGACGATGGACTAGGCTTCACAGCGGAAACCGATTAGAAATCTATCTTTCTGTATCTATCAAATCAAAGTCGACTTTTTTTACCCATTTTCTTCTGCCATTTTTGCTTGATTTGTCATAACTGTATAGCTGAGAGGCGGGTGGGGAGGCAGGTTGACCCAACGAGGATGTCCGACTATTGCCCGATCCAGCTTGATCCGCTGTTATTTGTTGCCGCAAAGGTCACGCCGCGTCACTAATTTATTAGCGGCTTAAACGTCACTGTCAACAATGGGTCGTCCCCGCAAATATGAGACGGACGCTGAGCGTCAGGCAGCTGTTTTGGCGAATAAACGAGCGTATTATCATCGGTATGTCGTCCAAGTATTCTCTAGCCTTGACTGACTGACCTCCAACAGGAACTCTGAGCGTCTGCAAAAGCGTAAACGAGACAGCTATCATCGAAATAAAGATCCTTTGGCTCAAGAATACACGTATGTCTCCAGCTATCCATTTCATCCTCAATATAACACAGTTTCAGGATGTCGGACCCACAGGGTGATAAGCGACGGCTCCGTTTAGAGACCTATCGCTTGGAGCGGGAGTTTAGCAAACTGCAGATTATACTGGGTCCTCATCCTGTTCAGGCTATGGTTCATTTTGCTCTCCATCAGGCGACCAAATCCAAGGCGATGGAGATCTTTACAACCACCCTTGCCAGCGTGAAAGACCTCCGAGACCAGATAAACTGAAATTCGACAGCATGGGCACATTTTGGGATCTGCAAGGAAGGAAAGTGGGCTGAGAAGATTCTGGAGCAGGTGCAAATTTTGGCAAACGAGATTGAGAATGCTGCATCTCATACCAAAGGGGGGCTCGAGGGTCTAGCTACAGCGCGAAGCAATGGAATCCTCATATATCAACAAAAAAGATTGGAATAAACAGGCTTGTAATCTCATCGATCTCTTTTATCTGGCATACGGAACAAGGAAGCGCTTCATTTTGAGACAATAGGTAAGCTATACAATATATACAACGCAAGAGATTATTTGGAGGCGAGGACTGGCGCTATCTAGGCAACGACATGGACATTCCCGCCCTGCAAGGCGACGAGAAAGGCAGCGTCGGCCGAAGCCTTGGTGTCATACCTTTTGAAGATGGCACCACGAACCCCGACAACGTGGGGAGCCACTATATTCCTGATAATAGACGATTGAGCAAGAATCGCGCCAGGAAGATAATAACTCACCAGTCATTGAAGACCCCAACTTGGCGTCCGACAGTCACCACATACCAAGGTTCCTTGGGAGGTGGAGGGGGAAAGCGATGGTTGCATTTAGGACAGGTCATGAAATGGGGATTCTCAGGGGCAGTGAGATATCCACCACCGCAGCCAGTCGAAGGACCAGCAAGGGGAATATCGTCGGCAGAGGAAGCGACGATACCAGACGAAGCTGGAGCGTTTTGAGAATCCACGACGACCGTATCATCATCATCTACTAAAATGTCAGATGAATTAACAAATGAAAAAAGAATCTTTAGCGTCACCTTTGGCCTTCGTTTCTGTCGTACCAGTCGCACCAGTCGCACCGGAAGAATGACCGTGTGCTAAATGGGCTTGTCAATCACAAAAAAAAAAATGATTGCCGGAGCCCAAAATAACATACCAACGGCGATACTCAAGTCGGCGACTTGAGCGGTCAATTGATCAATGCGCTCAAGCAGAGCACTCAGGATTTGAGCAGATGCAGAGTTGGAGTCAGAGCTGTGAGCGGGGGATTTTTCCTTGTTATCGACCATGGTGGGATAGCTAGACGATTACTGGGTATGTGAGAAAAGATTCAAGGCTTAAATACCTGTGAAAGCTATACAGTTCGGCAAGGTTCGGCGTCGGCTTTTCCCGAAGATCATCTGATCTTCCGTTCCTTCTGGATCGCTTGATTGATCAATGATGCCGGTCTCTGTCTTGTTCGCAGGACAGTGAAATGATTCAGGTAGCTTTATCTCCCGTCGCAGCTGCTTTGAATTTATCATTACTCGAGTACTAGTAGCTAAATGGTGTATGCATGCTGATATGGTGTAAGGGTAGCACATCGTGAAAATGTCCACTCGATGAAGGAACACTTTATCACGGAGGAGTGGGTTCGACTCCCATTATCGGCTTCTGAATGTTGCCAATTTTTTTGGTCTCTTGATCTTTGCGCCCTTATCTATCGTTCATCTACTGGTGCCGCTATAACTTTGTCTAGCCGAACTGTACAGTCTGCTATCACCGTTCGGCTATTTCCTCATCACCTGATGGTCCCATCTGTCCTTCAACCATCAACAATTGCATCCCTCAAATAGCTCGGTGAGTCGGCAGCATCATGCTGCATCTGCGACTGATACCTAGCATTTCTGCCAGAAATGACCACGTCTGCTGACACTCCTGACACTGTTGCCTGGAATGATTCCCCAAACAGCTCGGTGAGTTGCCTGTATATATCCTCAACTGACGTTTGACATTCTTCAGCCCGAAATCGTCACGCTTGAAGCTGATCTCGAGGCCCTCAATCGCTTGAGGAGTGCTTCCGATTTGGAGCGTCGAGTGGGAAATCAACTTCTTGTAGGTGCCACTGACCATCTCGTGCAGCGCTCTGATACAAGAAACAGGAATTGGATAGGGTCATGACTGCAAGCGACCACGAGGGCTACCTGCACCAGAGCGCACGCGGTACCTTAATCGTAGGTCAGTGAGACTTTGCTGAATCGAGCTGACCAGTTCATCTAGAGGAACCTTGTTCTACAAAAACGAGCGAAGCACGATCAAAAGCTCTTGAACGCCATTGAAGCACTCCGTGGCATCGACAACAACCCTGCTCATCCTGCTCAGCTGACCGGCCACCAGCTCGATGTTGAGCTGCAGGTAAGGCTGATTTTGCTTCGGTTTCACATTTGCTGAGAACCACAAAGATGATGCAACAAAAGCGAATTGCAGCAGGGATGAAACCGTTGTCCACAGTTGGTCGAATTCTTCTGAGAGTAAGATCCCGTTCCTATGTCCTCTCAATGCACGTTAAACTTGGGGATCACAGCATTCGATTATAATCAAACGACAAGCGGAAATAGATGCTGAACGTAAGGCAAATGCTGAATACGACGAAATGAATCGATTCCTTCGGTGCGTCGAAGAAGAAGACCTTACACAGAGAATGGACACTGAGGTCGAGGACGAAGTGAAGGTGAGAGCTACAGCAGTCATGCAGACGATTCAACGGTGCTAAAACAAACACATAGAGAATCGAAGCGACTCTGCCAGAACCTTTGAATTCCGAGAAGCGTCAAGTACTCAAGGTAGCATCGGAATACCTCCCTTGGAAGTCGCTGACCTTGGATACAATCACTTCCTATTCCATTGAAAACTGGCCAGTTCTCAATCGTTCAAGCCAGGCAGGCTCGACTGGACGCTGGAATTGCCAAATCCAACCAATTGGCAAGCCTCCTGTTGGCCGGAGAATCTGACGATGAAACAAAGGCTGAGATAGACCGTCTCTCAGAGGAAGTCTTTGCAATTGCTCTGGCTTGTGCGCCCAAATAGGTACCATCACGACAAAATGTATTCACAACAGTATATCAACAATCTATGCGTCCTTTTATTTTCTGCCTTTTCTTCTGCGAGCTGCTACCGCCTGGACATTTTCTTGAAGTCGCTTCCGGAGTTTTTTCTGACGTTGCAATCTCTATTCTGGATTAAGTGTTTGAAGTTGCCTCTACGCTAGCTACGCCAGATCAAACGAAGCGAATTAGTCAAGCACCATGCCGTCACCCGATTCCCACTGTTTCTTCTCTTCTTGCCTTGAACCCTCCCAAGCCTTGTAAATGGAACCATTGTTAGGTAGGTGAATGTCGCATATAGTCCTTCCCTTCATCGCCGTTCTCATCTACAGTGCGGGCGGTTTCTGACCTCCGTTTTCTATTTACGTCCTTCACGTCCTCAAGGTTAAGTTACAAGGGTGGCGCTGATCCGATCTATTCCCTGTTTCCTTGGTTGCTGTTCTCTGCTTGCCACGACCAACAATTTTTTTCAATCACCGGCATGAAAAAAAAGTAAGTCCTTTTCATCTTTGTCTCTCGTCCTTCGTGACCAAGACCTCGCAAAAGCTTTACTATGCGGCCTACGCCTCCTCCCTCGGATATGTCTATTGGCCCAATGTTGAACGCGAAGATGTTGGCAGCGGGACTGGAGGAAGAAACCAAGGTGCGAGAGATATCGACTGGCCTTGAAACTCTTTTTCAAGGAAAATCTAGGTTGTGCTTGCCGCCATGAAATATCAGAATATGCTCTCCATTTCTGCGGTCAACGTGAAGGTAAACACCACAATGTCGTCTTCCACAGTCCTTTCTGACAGCAATAATTACAGAGTTCACTGGCGAAGGCGGGGACAAGGCAGGACTATCAATCGGTGAACTGGATGTCTCCCGAGGATGTCTCTACCGTGATGAAGGCCAACGTTCAGGTCATATTTCCAGCATTCTACCTCCTCCAGTACTCACCCAGAAGCAGCGCATCGAGGAAGTCATGAAGTTGTATCAGATGCGCCCCCTGAGCGCCATAGATTGTGATGAAATAGAGGTGAACTCGGCCTACTTCCTCAAACAACTCTTGCTCAGTCTCCTTGATAAGACCCAGCTGATGAAATGACAACTATACGTCGTAAAATCTGCGCTCCAGGAGCAACAACAAGCCATTCGGACGCTAGAGGAGAGGAAAAACGAGATCGTCCTGATGCAGCTAGCTTTGAAACTCCATGTACGTCCAGGCTTTTCTCGTGGATTCTAGTTTCATTGCCCAATCCAGGACATTCATGTTGATAGCAAGGGCCTGAAAGCTGACTCGATGGGTGCTCGGTCTCTCAAGGCGATCAAGGTAATGCTTCAGACTTCGACTTGTGGTTCTGTCCCTAATTTCGTCAAAACAGGACACGTTTGTGGCCGACGCTCTGACTCTCACTGGTAATATTGAGGCTAAAGAGAGACTTGTGGCCCTCAGTGAATTCCTCTGGGGCTTGAATCCATTGTAAAATATCAGAATTCGGATTTCTTTGACTTGCATCAGATTTGATATGGCCGGCCCGGTGCCTTGACAAAACTTGATGACTAACTGACCAAAGACAACCAAATTTGGGGTGGCAACGTGTTGAACGCGTTAACTTCTCGAACCTGCCAGAACTTTTTCTTCCGCTACGCCAGCTACACCGACGGCCAACGAAGGCCAACAAAGCGAATTGGAATGCGGTTCTCCGTCCCTTTTCTTTGCCCTCAACTCTGAACACTGGGCCGTTTCTTACCATGGTGAATTTCCCCCGTGGCAAAAATGCAGCAAGGAGGACACGCTCAGTATGTCCTTTTACTTCTCTGCGCCAAAGATTGACCAGTCTTTCTTTCCACAGCTTCTTTCTTCCCGTGCTCGTATGCACGCTCGCAGTGGAACCTGCCAATCGCTCGCGTCAAGGCAGCCTGTGCCAGTTCGTATCTCTTGACCTCAAAATCTCGCCTGACAGCCTCTATCTACAGGAAACTGGCTCATGGGAAATCATGGAAGGCATCGTTGATGTCGGCGGCCAATTTCTCTGCAGATACGAGTCATCATCCTTCATTTCGCTCATGGTGAGCATTACGCTCATTGTTGTATTGGTTGAATTCACTAACTTGACCCAGCAAAATGTTTACTACGATACCGATGATGCTGTATGCCACCGAGAGTTTGCCGAATGGAAGGCGAAAGCGCTGGTTTGTACCTTGGCCTTGGAAATCAACCTTGCGGTTAATGGAATTCGGTTTCAGGCACAAGCAGAACCCTACATTGGCGTTGAGGGTGATGTCGACTTGCCTGCTTTGATTGTGTAGAGAGAAATACAAGGTCAGGTCTTACTTCGCGGCGTCGACTGTTCTGACCTTCAGTTCACCTAGACAGGCCCCAGGCCCACAAATTAAGTAGGAGAAACCCTTGGCATATTCCCATATTCTCTCGCTTGTCGTATCGTTGTCAAATAATAATCTTTCTTGGACTATATCAAGTCGGAAGAGAGACGTGATCGTGAGTATTGAAAGTCGAGATACAGTGTTATCGTACACTATTGTAAAATTTACCCAATTTGGTCACTGACAGTCGGTTGACTTTCGATCCCTGCCTTGATACAATGACGAATGATGTTCATCTCAGTTTTGCGCAGCACCCCGACGGTCTGTTTACCTCGAAGTACAGCAAAGATGGCGGCAAGGACCCATACCCCGCAATCATGTGAGTTCTGCTGCAGAGCATTGGTCGGGTTCTGAGAAAAATGGTCAACTGACTATTTCCTGAATGCACAACTTTACGCACGATAAGGGGAACAACTCTCCAACAATCAACAGGTACGAGGAAAGGATGCCCGTTGCGATTCACCAAGTCAATAAGACACTGCACAAGGTTGACAATTCGCTAACAGTTCCAAGGTTAACTCTGAACGAGATGAACTGAAAAGAGACGAACCAGAGCCTCATCAAGCAAAGCGTCATGTTCTCCGAAGCTATCAAACATATGAATCACACCTTGGGTGAGATACACAATGTATAGGACCCAGTGGCTTTGTTCAGCGCGGTTGACAGGTATTAGCCAGATGGACCGAGACCAATAGAAACTTTTCTTTGCTAGTCTCCAGACCGCATCGGGGCTTGAGTTGGTGGCGAGATACGTGGATAGAAGTGCAATGTGAGGAGTCAAGTGATCAGGAAAAACATGATTGTAAAGTATACCGCCACCCATTTGGACGCAATCGTCGTTGAGCCACTTGCGAGGTTTGAGACGCTGGATGTCGTTGTACGTGATTGAGCTGGACAATATTCCATGGCGCAAATGGCCGTAGAATCGACGTCCCATCCCTGGCTTGTCGAAACTACCAATCAATGACCTGGCGAAGGACTGAAATTGGCAGAGACTATCGTCAGACGTGAGATCTCGCTGGAGCAGACATAGAACGTTAAAATGGTTCATTTTGTAGAAATTGAAGCACTCACCAAGGCATCTGCCGACATTCGTTCAATAACAAATGCCATCTGAGATGACCTGAGAAAAGGCATGGCTTCCCGGGAAGCTGGCACAGCTTCTGCCGCTTGTGGCTCTGAAGCCACCACTTCTTCGTCTT